AAAACTTGACTATCCACTCAATTTTTCGTTCTGAATCCATTTCCAGTGTTACTTTCTCCATTTGAGACCTCCTACTCAAATTTCATTTTCTAGGGTTACGTGTTCAGTAAATTTCCATTTTACCCTTCTTATGTAATTTGACCCTAATTTCAGGATTTTCACTAATCCTAGCCCTTTAAACCACGTTTTCGTGTATAATAATACGTTTATGAAGTATGAGGTGTTATAAAAATCCTTTTGGTCAAGGAACAAAGGCAATCCACAAGCTCCAAGCTTTAATCTTCTATGATTGTGTCCGAGGAAGACAACCTACAATGATCACACACACATGATCATCAATTAACTTGTTAAACAAGTCATAATTTAAGACAACACAATCCCCTCCACATGTTCATAATTCGGGCATTATGGCCAAAATACCCAATTCATGTTGTTAATCTTATTCAATCACCTATATGGTTTCCTTAGCCATCCACCATACCATATCAATTCCACAATTGCATCAATTCCTAACTTAACATGATTTTCCCCACAAATACCCTATATGGCCGAATGTAATGCATCAAAGGGGCTAGGGATTTTTCTTGCCTTTTCAAGGTTCGAGGTACATAATTAGGTACACATTAGTTGATTCAAACACCCACTACACCAATTCATCAAACCAAACACTAACTTACACAATTTTCTTAAAAAATCTCTTATATGGCCAAACCTATGCCATCAAGGTATCAAGGGATTTTTCTCTCACATCACATGCATTACACTCTCATACACTCTAATTATCAAATATTCAAATCATCACAAGCTCAATTACACAATTTTGCGTAATCTTCCTCACATTTCCCTCACATGACCGAACCTATGTCTTCCAATAGCCAAGGGATTTTTAATTGATTTTCAAGCATTCAATGCATCATTCATCATGTAATTAAATATCCTAACTAATCCACCACTCAATTTCAACTTCTACATTCATGAGTTCATTCAATTTCCATACACTTTCCACTCAAAATTTTCATTAAGTTATCAAACTTTTTCACAAGAATTTTTGAGTTCAATCATCACTAATCATTATTCTAAGCAACATTTATCGAATGCACTTAGTCATTTTAAGGTCACCAACTACCCAAACTCACCACACATAAGCTTAGGTTTTCGAGTTTTTGATCTCAATAATGATCCAATAAAAGTTGTGAAAACTTACCATAAATCAACTCCAAGACTTCCCAAGAGTGATTTCCAAGCACCCAATCAACATGAACACCCATCCATGGCTCCACTTTCTTCAAAAATATATGGCCTTAAGGGAGTGATTTCTCTTGATAGAGTGTTTTTCAAGAAGAATGGAGATGTGGGTTGGATTCACTAGGTGATTTACTTAAACTTTCATGTGGAACACTAAGTGATTTGGTGACGGAATAAGGAAAATGAAGATTTGCAAGCTCTCTTAGTGGTCACCAATAGAGGAGCGTGAAATTGGAAGCAAAGAGGAGAGGAGAGATCAAATTTTATGAGGAGAAACACTATTCATTTGTTGTTATTTCACTTGGATCGTCAAATAAGCACAAAAGGACGAAAAGTCACTTAAACCACTCATTTGACCCACTAATCACAAATTAATTCATGAACCATTCATTAAATTCAAAATTTAATATTCACCAAGGTCCCTTAATTACGCTTTAAGGTAGTGTTTGGTTCAAGTCTTCTTAAAATTTCCCCATCTAAGTGCATGTAGCAATCTCCATTCTCCTCATTTGGTTGAAGGATTCCATTACTTTTAGCCATCAAACACACTTTGCTATCTAAGTACAAAAGCATGTTAAAATTGGATAAATTCATTGTTGAAGAATGCTTCTACAGACGTGGTATTTCTTGTCAAAATCTGGAGAAATGAAAAAGTGGGTGAATACTATGACATTAATACCCCTCTTTTTATATGTTGTAATGGTTCAAAATTTTATAAAAAGGTTACTTTCGTAAATTCCATCCATTTTCCCATCAAATTTTTATTTTCAACCAAACATACACTCAGCATATTTAACTCAATTTCCCTACTAATATTTTACGGTACCAAACAACTATTTTTAAACTTTCCTACCAAACTCACTTTCCAACCATTTTCCTATCAATTACATTTTCCTAGTATTCAAAAAATTTCTCCTCAACCAAACGCCCCCTAATAGATGAACCCGGAGTTTCCTGGTATTTTAATGAAATTACTATTTTACCCCCAGTGGTGCACCATTGACATATTTCCTTGAAAACCCTAAAATTCATCAAATTACACCAATGATCATATTTCTTAGTTCTAAGTATCTTTTATAAAATATATTCAATACTAGAGCGCTAATCGCACTTTGCACATTTTTCGATGCAACTGTACCGCAGTATTTCGTCCGTTAAAAATACTATTCATCAATTTTCCATAAACTTGCCCAATCACTCAATTTTTTGTTTTGAATCCATTTCCAGTATTATATTTATCATTTGAGGCCTTATTCTATCATTTTACAATTTAAGATTATTTACTTGTTGATTTACCGTTTTACCCTTCGTACGTATTTTGACCCAGAACATAGAATTTTCACTAAACACCCTCTCCAATCCTCAATTTAATTATTAATATGTATTTCAATTATACGAGGTATTATAGTGACAAAGAAAAAAAGTAAAAGGTGAAAAAGAAAAGGTTAAAGGCCATCAAAAATGAAAGAAAAAGGTGAAAAAGGAGAAATTTAAAGTGTTACAAAAGTAGTTTGTGAAAAAATAAAAATGGAGGAAAAGAAGTACAAGAAAAAGACATTAACTTTAATGCTCATTCCTCTTTAAATCTAAAGTCTTATCACATAGTTACTTATCCACATTTAATTCCTTCTTATTAGTCAGGTCACATTACAACCTTGATCAAATACCTCTTGATTAATTATGTATTCATTAAGATTATGGAGAGTGAGAATATAACTAAGCCTATGGTAGTGTTTATTGAGTGAATAATGAGTGAAACACATACCCTTATACACTTGAGAATGAAAGATTCTAAAAATCCTAGTGAGGTAGTGTTCTTGACTCAATTTTCCTAATCTTTGTCTTGAGTTACAACTTTCATGACTTTTGAATTATGCCTACTTACTTGACTTGGTGTCTCATTAATCTTAAGTCTGAATACTCCATAGATACTAGTTCATTTGACATTAATTATGCTATGATACTTTACACTATTTCTTTAATGTTATATGAACTATATGATGATTACTTAATACATTATGTTATTGATTCAACATTTTGCAATACATAAATCTAGTTTGACCATGGGTTAACTTTTTGATCCATATTGGTATATTCATATCTTTGCACTTTTTAATTTTGCCAAAAAGGGGAGAAATTGTTGAGAAATATAGCGAGATTGAGAAATTTATGTTTTCTTTATTGCTCATCAAATGGGGAGAAAGTTGACATTTTATGGGGTTTGTTAACTTTTTACCAAGTATTTTACTAAGGGGAGCATATAGTTAGGGGGAGCTTAATTAATTCTGTTTTCCTTCTCTATTTACCCTATTTCTCAATGAAGTTTGTGAAGTGTTTGTCATCATCAAAATAGGGTGATTGTTAAACCATAGGTTTCCAAGTTTATACATTTAAAGTTTTGATGATTACAAAGGACCAACAAGCTCAACATGGATGCACAAGTTAGATGGCAGTGCAACAAGTCTCAAATGGTACTAGAAGACCAAGGCAACATGTAAAAGTGAAGAAGTAATTCAAATGTTCAAGTCAACAATAAAGTCAAAGATTCAAGTGAAGAAAGGACCTAAAAGACTCAAAGGATGAAGACACTTAAAGATAATTGAAGACTTGTATTCAGATTAAGTGTCATGTACTTTTAGAGTCCTAGGTTGTATGAAGTTGAGTTTATTGAGCTATATCTCTATAGTTTGCATTTAGGAACATAAACTTATGCATACAAGTCTCACACATGTCGAACATTGTAACATTGATGCTAGAAGCATGCATTAATGTGTGAGAAGTGAGAAGGAATTGATTAGAAATGATTTGGATCAAATTCGGATGCATTTTGGGTTGCTATCATCATATATCCTGATATGGATATTGTGTATCCAGATATGACATATCTGAATACGGTATCTGGATATCTCAGCCAGAATATTTGGATACAAAGCCTCACATATCCGGATATTTGTCAGGAATCACGTAATTACTTTTTAAGTATGAATCAAATCTTTTTATATCTTTTCTAAACCTACTTGGTTGCTATAAAATCATGTTTTAGGGTTTAGAAACATAAGAGAGCGTATTATTACATGCATTAGAGATAGAATCACCCAAGATCATACATTAAGCTTAAATTTGATATTCTAGAGAGAGAAAACTCTTTAATCTTCTTCTTCTTCTATTTTTCTTTGTAATTCTGAATTTGGGGAGGTTGTTATGCTTCTGTGATTGGTTCAATTGAAGTGATCATAGGGTTTAGGTTAAGAATGGTCAAGGGGTTGGTCACAGTTTTGTAAAATTCTAATTGAGTTTTGATTTCTGGTTCAAGCGGAGTGATCCTAGGGTTTAGGTTAAGTATGATCAAGTAGACCACAGGTCTTGTAAAATTCCTCTTGTAAAACGGTTCTTCAAGCACCGGTTGGAAGCTTGATGATAGTGGAATGATCGGCCTCAATCTGGATGTAGCTCTCAATGGTGGAAAGTGAACCAGGATATGTCTCGCTATTATCTTCTCTTCCCTTACTCTTTTATTTTTTGCTCAATATACTCTTTATGATTCATTGTTCTTGATCAATCTGGATGTAGCTCTCAGTGGTGGAAAGTGTACCAGGATATGTCTCGCTGTTATCTTCTCTTCCCTTACTCTTTTATTTTTCGCTCAATATATTCTTTATGATTCATTGTTCTTGATGTTTTGAATTTTTTTAGGGTTTGAGAATTTTCTCTAATATTTTTCTCTCTTAAAATGACATAATTTTATGTCATTTAAAATGACAAATACTTTTCCCTTGATTTATATCGTAAAACACATGCAAGCAAATAACGATCCAAGTTCTGCATGGTAAAAATAAATTTTCCATTAAGTATTTTTTGGACTATTTTGCATTCTTGCATTTTACAGACTATTTACAATAGCTATTTCTCCATTGTGATTGTCCAAAAGAAGGATCAAGAAATAGCTTTTATGATATTTTGTTTTTTAAACTTCTTATTTGAAAACTAATTTTTAAGCTTATAACAAAAAAATTGCGGTTTTCAAACATAAAATATAAAATTGATCAATTATTATATCATGAAACACAATGTTCCTCAAAGGCCTTATTTAATTGTTTTAGCAGGTCAACTAATTACGATTAATTGGAAAGCATACAGAAGACAAAGATATACTGCAAAACATTATCCAATCATTAACAATTGTTCAATCGAAGGTCAAATAAATCTCAAGACATTGCCAAAGTTGATCGATGAATACAAAATTTACTGCAAAACATAATTCAACAGCACCAAAAATTAAGATTTGCACAATTTTTGTCCCAGCACCTCATGCTTATTTCTTCCAAGGACTTTTCATAGCACAATATCTTCATCAATCAAAGATTTCCTTTCTTCAGCAAGGTGTCTCTGACTTCAACATCAAAACTAATTAAAAAAAATTGCTCATATGTGATATGTCTATATACTTTGTTAATAATATAGAATACAAAAATAATATAAACGGTTAACCCAATAAAGTGCAGAACAATGAACATGGAAGATCAACAAACAACATAGTCTCTATAGAAGCAGGTAAAATAAATATAATCAGCGTAGATAAAGAGAAAGCGCTGAGGGGGAAGTAGAAACTATAAATGCACAAATAATGAGTAAGATTATGCAGAAGAACAACTTGAGAAGATGAAGAAGATAAACAGACAGAAACAGAAGAAATATGTGCACAAAAGCTGATTACGAATGAAAAACACATATCCTATGTATACACGAACTAAGGAGGTTTTTTGAACTTATTTGTTATATTAAAACTTATTTTTTGAAGCTTCTCACAAAATAATCATTGGTTCATTTGTAGACCCAATAAATTAATTAATCCTAATAGACATAATAATAAATATTATTAATAAACTTAATAATTTTCGATGCAGAAAGTAGTGGTATTATTAAAGGCTTTTAACTATCCATGCAGAAAGTAATGAAATATTAATACAGCTGTTTATCATAGGGGTGTTCATCAACCGATTCAAATCGCGATGACCGAACCGAAAAACCGAAAGCCGAAAAACCAAAAACCGAAAAAAAAACCGCAAATTTTAATTGGATTGGATCGGTATTTGGATGGGTTGATGAAAACCAATCCAATCCAAACCGATCCAATATATTAATTACTCTCTACCTACTTGGGTCTTTCCCTAATCATAGCTCAAAATTTTCTAAAACCAAGACCCATTAACCCATCAACCAAACCCAAGAAAAAATCTAGTCACATCTCATCAATAAAATTTTATTTTTGTAGAGCTTCATATCTCATTGCCAAAAAAAAACTATATTATAGTTTACTAATGCTTTTGTATTTCAAAAAAAAAAAAATTACAAAGCCAATATATACAAAAAGATGTTATTTGCACAATAATTATGAAATAAATTTTAGGATTTTAAAAAAACCGAAAACCGATCCAATCCAAACCGAAAAAAATTGGATTGGATTTGAAAAAAAATCCAAACCGAATGGATGATTATATGATTAAACCGAAGGGATTGGATCAGATAATTTTTGCTTCCAAAACCGATCCAATTCAGACCGCGAACACCCCTAGTTTATCACCAAAGAAGTTTAAATTTTGAATTTAAATTATTCTCACTTATCCGGTTCAAATTTTGAATTTGAATAATTACTAAAAAAGAAAATATTTTAAAATAATTTAATTGTAAAGAAAAAATAAATATTGAAATTGAAAGCAACATATCAGCAAATTTTTCTAAGATTTTATATAGAGTAAATACATTTTTGGTACTCAACAAATTTCACGATGCCTCATTTAGTCTCTAGCAAATAAAAAGGCTATTCGCGGTCCCTAAGAAATTCAAAATGGACTATTTAGTTGAAATCGTGGTCCCTCAAATTCAAAAAAAACCCATTAGTCCCTCAAAAAGACTAAAATGAGTCCATTTTAAATTTTTTAGAAACCACGAATAGCTTTTTTATTTGCTAGGTACTAAAGCAGACATCATAAAATTTACAGAGGATCGAAAATGATATTTAGTCTTTTATATATTAAGATTACGTAGGACCCGCCTATGTTCTTGTCAATTGATGCATCGTGAAGGTGACCACGTCAACCCAGGACCAATAATGCAATTCGTATTCGTATTAATTACTCCAACGCTCCAACTATGTGTGGTAGTGGTTGTATGAAGTAATTAAAGCAAAATGGCCATCGTTCTAGTTATCCTTGTTATTTTCAATCTACTATTGTTCTTCCCTCAAATTTCCTTTGCAACTGACATCATTACCCAGTTTTGGTCACTTCCTAATGGCAGCACCTTGTGACTTGTGTGTATCCATGGATCAATGAGCAGGAGTATTAAAGTGGTTGCTTATTTTTTTGGATGTGAAAAGTTTTTTTCCATTTTAATTCAGCTTTTAATTTATATTTTTATTTAAATCCTAAAAAAAAGTTTCCTTATAGGGGGCGTTTGGTTGAGGAGAAATATTATGAATGATAGGGAAGTGTTATGTATAGGGAAATGGGTGGGAAGTGAGATTGGTAGGAAAATGTAAGAAAAAGTTGTTTGGTTGGAAAAAATTTTACAGGGAAACTTAGGTAACTTTTGTAAAGTCTATGTTTGGCTGTAAGTAACATATAAATGGGAAAATGCGTGCGAGTTTACAAAATTAACCCCGACTTTATAACTAACCTTTCTCAAAGGCTTCCTTACTTTTGATTGGCCGGCACACTATAAAAAAGAGCCATCAAAAGGGAATGTGAGGAAAAAAGAAGACAAACTTATTTGCACACCTGCATATATACACCAATTCTTCACACCTGCTTGTAAAATCCGAATTTAATATCCTCTGATCGGTATCTTACACCTGCAATGGTGGCTTTGTTATATGGGCTAATGAACCCTTTGGTCCCTTTTGGGGTTCCCTCAAATTGGTAATTCCAACATTGTCTTATGGTTTACCTCATTATGTGTCCATATTCATATCCACTTCTGTGCTATCTTTTCTGAATTATTCTGGTTTAGCTATAGTTGGTTACACTGCAGTTGCTATGGGGATTATTTCCCTTTTACCTTTTGTGTTGCTGTCTTTGATTTCATTGCCTAAAATTGATCCCAGTAGATGGCTGAGTTTGGGTCAAGAAGGGGTGAAGAAGGATTGGACTCTGTACTTCAACACCGTATTTTGGAACTTGAACTTTTGGGACACTGCAAGTACTTTAGCTGGAACAAGGGGCACGCTGGTCTTTTTTTGTGTACAGTCAGTGAGCAAATGTGGAGGTATTCCACAATACCACCTTGCAAATGGGTTTCTATGGCTGGCTAAATCAGTACATATACATAGGGAAATAGGAATGCCTTCAATCACAGTTACCTAGCTAAGTGAGAAAACCCAACACACCAAACGCTGCTTTCTTCCTTTCCCATTTGTGATTTATCTATCATTCTGTTCAGATTCCTTCAACCAAACAGTCCCGTAGGTTTATCCGGTGCATTGAAGATTTGTTCCTATCCATAGGTTAGGTAACTCCAAAAACCGTTATTTGGGAATATAAAACAAAGTATATTCTTTATTAAATTTGAAAAAAAAAAATATAATTGATTTTTCTTATTTTCTCAACTTCTAATGATTATTGTTGAAGTTTCACTTTTTCCTATTCTTAATAAAAGAGTATGTAAATGAGTACACACGCATGTAGTACCGAAGATATATTCATGAGAATATGACACAAAACTGAATTTTTGTTTGGTAGTAAATTGTCAAGAAATGAGAACAATATGACTCAATAGATAATATCGAATAATATCGAATAGGCTTACCAAAAAAAAAAGATAATATCGAATAGAACACTGTTTCAAAATTTAACAAACAACGGACCTTTTTTCAAAAAAAAAGGTGTAATTAATTCAATATAAACAAATAAAATATTTGTGAATCAAGATTAGCTTAATTTGAAAAAATAAATTATGTGCATTTATAAGCATCATTTGAAATTATCGCTAAAACATGTGACATGTCCCTTGATTTAAAACATGGCTTTTATATCTTAAAATTTCTATAATGAAAATAATTTTGAAAAATATAGATGAATCACTTCGCGTCTTTTCAGCCTTAAATTGTGCTTAAACGAGTGCATGCGAGAAGTAGAAAGTGCAAATGACCAAAAGGTTCGTCCTTCGGAATAGTAACGTGTTATGCATAGATGGGTATGATATGGATTGCTCTATGAGAGGAGAAAAATTTCGGTCTATAGACCACTAAACTCGGTTTTTTTATTTATTAAAAGGTGCTTCTTTTTAAAAAGGAAAAAATTTTATTAAAAAGGAAAATGTAAGCCTTTTGTCCTCTGATTTATGTAGGAGAGCCATGTAAATACTACATAGCATCGGTTAGAACAACACGAAAGTATAATAAAAAAACTGTATAATATACGCAAAAGAGCTATATGATATACACGATTTATGGTTCTTTTATTAAGGAGTGAATTAAAAAAAAGTTATGAAATTATAATCGTTAATAGAAAAATTAACAACTGAAATTATGATAAAATACTTGCCTACATAAGATAAATTATAAAATTATTCAAAACTTTTCAGATTTTCCTAAGTGTCGCGGATTAAAATAATAGATACTGTAGTACATTCTATATTTGTTTATTAATTGGATTATGTTCGAATATTCAAGTGTGATAAGTTCATCATTGGTTAATAATATACTAAATGAAGAACATGCAAGAGGGTAAATTCATAAACTCAATGTGTTAAGATTTTGGGTTAAGACATTGGGTTGTGATATGATGTCGGACTCACTTGATGTGATTGGTCTAACTTAATCTATTGGTGGTGGTTCTCTTCCATGGACTCCTCTAGACTCGCATGATATTATTTGGCTAGAAACGGATTGAGTATTTGAGCCACTGTAGTCTGTACTAAGTTGAAAGAGATGATAACAATGTTTGAGTTAGTAATGAGTTAAATAAAGAGCATAGAACAGAGTGAACCGATAATCCGAATGTCTTTAAGATTTTGGGATGTAACAGGATATCGAATTCACTTGACGTGACTGATCTAACTTATCAGATTAATTGATAATTGCTCTAAATAAAGAGCATATAAGAGGATAAATCCAATAAGGTTTGTGGTTATGATACGGTTGTTGAACTCACCTAGGCTAGTTGGTCTAACTAAACCCAATGATGACGGTGCCCGTCACAGCTCCTCCTAGACCGAAATATATTAAAGAAATGCAATTACTTCTCCAAAAGGCAAAGTCAGAGCCGCCGAGAACTTTGCCCTCGTGAACAATAATGTTATAACAACTCTGCTACCAAATCTCCATGTATATCTTCAACTTATGTCGCATATGCATTATGCAGTAGTTAACGCAAAATGGCCATTATGACTGCTATGCTTGTTGTTTCCAAGCTACTATATTTCTTCTTTCACATTTCCTATGCATCTGATACCATTACCCAGTTTCAGTCACTTCCTGATAATGGCAGCACCTTGGTTTCTAAGGATGGAACCTTTGAGTTGGGCTACTTCAATCCTGGTAGTTCCTCGAACCGCTATGTTGGAATATGGTACAAAAACATCCCCGTTAGAACGGTTGTTTGGGTTGCCAACCGTGACAACCCTATCAAAGACAACTCGAGCAAGTTAATCATAAACAAAGAGGGAAACCTTGTGCTTTTAAGCAAGAATAAGACTTTACTGTGGTCAACAAACTCCACAACAGAGGCTCTGAGTCCCATTGTGCAGCTCTTGGAAACTGGAAATTTAGTACTTCGAGATGAGAAGGACAACAACAACGAACCAGGTTTTCTGTGGCAGAGCTTTGACCATCCTTGTGATACAATATTACCAGGGATGAAGATTGGTTGGGACCTAAAAACTGGTCTCAATCGGCGTCTTACTGCTTGGAAAAATTGGGATGACCCCTCTTCAGGAGACTTTACATTAGGTTTTACGCTTGGAAGCAATTCTGAATTGCTTATTTGCAAGGGATTGGCAGAGTACTACAGGACTGGCCTTGTGAATAGCCCAGTTGGAGTATTCGGATTGAGGGGTAATCCAATCTACACTAACAAATATGTTAGCAATGAAGATGAAGTGCTTTTCTCATACACACTCAAGAATAGTTCTGTGATTTCTATTATTGTTTTGAATCAAACCCTTCAACTTCGTCAACGCCTCGTATGGATTCCTGACACCAGAATTTGGAGAACTTACCAATCCTGGCCACAAGACAGTTGTGATATTTATAATACTTGCGGCCCAAATGGAAATTGTATCATTTCTGAAACGCGAATTTGCCAATGTTTACAAGGATTTGAGCCAAAATCACCCCAAGAATGGAATGCAATGGACTGGACACAAGGATGTGTGCGCCGCAATTCATGGAGATGCGGAGTCAAAAATAAAGATGGGTTTCAGAGATTTAGTAGAATGAAATTGCCAGATATTCCAAATTCTTGGGTTAATAAAAGTATGGTACTCGAAGATTGCAAGGCCAAATGCTTGGAAAACTGTTCCTGCACAGCTTATGCGAGCCCGGACACAAGTGGAGCAGGTATTGGTTGTTCCATGTGGTTTGGTGATCTCTTTGATTTGAGAATTTCAGAAGGTGGGCAAGATCTATATGTTCGAATGGCTGTTGTAGATATGGGTAAAGGTATGGTTAATTTTCTTCTAACTTTCTATTATATTAATTAGAGGGGCATTGCTTTTATTCAGGAATCTCATCTGCTTCATTTCTTTGTCAAGATGGAAATGCAGAGGCTAAACATGGGCGTCAGAAAAAGGTAGTCTTGGTGGTTACAATCACTGTTTCATTTGTCCTTGTGATTCTATTGGCATTCTCCTACATCTACGTGACCAAAATGAAGTACACAGGTAATTTCCTTTCAATTTTATTAGAATACAAATTTTCAACCTCTATTTTTACTGTTTGGCTTGTTTAAGGCCTTTGGGTATGTTCGTTCGTTGTTAAGTACAACGAACCTGATGGATCTGAATATATTTCATCCACGGTAGTGACATTAAATAATATTATGATAAGATCACATGAACAATTAAAAAAGTTGCGTTACTTTATAAAATTTTAGAAGATAAACAAAGAAAAAATAAAAAATTGGGTAAAATTCTCATTTACACAGTTTATATATGTCCTGTATATAGAAGACTTTTCTACTTATTTGAAAAATAAAAAGATAAATTCAAACCAGTGTAACTACAGAAAAATGAATGAATAAAGATTATGATAATTACAATCAAAGGCCGTGATTTAGGGAAGTGATTAAAAGGTGATATTTAAAGAAATACTAGATATTATTGCCAACAATATAACGAAATGAATATATATATATATATATATATATATATATATATATATATATATATATATATATATATATAGGGAAAAACATTTCTCCGACAACTTTAGATAAATTTATTTCCGGTTATCACGAAACTACGTTGTTTTATTTATTTATTTTTTTATATTAATTGATTCACTTTTGAATGTTATGATTCCCTTTTTTTCTCTCTTCCTTTATCACCATTGATCAATCTTTGTACGCTTATGATTTAGTAGCCGAAGATAAAATTATCTCAAGTAGTTTAAAAAACAATAAGCCCATATATATATATTGTTTTTGAACTGTAAGCTTCATCTGTATTTTTGTGTGTCTAAATGTATACAGAGTTAAATTTTTAGAATATGATTTTACTGTTCAATAAACCCACAAATCTGCGCTGTTTTCATTCAAAATTTCTCAATGGATTAGTTATGAGTGCAGCTGTATAAAATTATATCTTTCAAAACAGTGTTTTTCTTTTTTTTAATGACATTGATCTTATTTAATAAATCAAAGAGGAAGCAGACAAAATCATGCCGACACGAGAGCAAGATGAACGCGGACAAGAAGATTTGGAGCTTCCTTTGTTTGATCTTGCCGCAATAATTCATGCTACCAATAACTTCTCAACCGACAATAAGCTCGGGGAAGGTGGTTTTGGGCCTGTATACAAGGTAAATTTGCAACATGCCTATTAATAAGGCTAAAGTAAACATGTATATGAATCTTATCATCGGTCAAATTGTTCCTAAATATTAAATCTAGGGTACATTGCGAGATGGACAAGAGATTGCAGTCAAAAGGCTTTCAAGGAGTTCTGGACAAGGATTGAAAGAATTTAAGAATGAAGTGATGTTGTGTGCCAAACTTCAGCACCGAAATCTTGTTAAGGTTCTTGGTTGTTGCATTGAAGGAGATGAGAAAATGTTACTCTATGAGTACATGCCCAACAAAAGCCTCGATTCATTTCTTTTCGGTCAAGTATTTTTTGCAAAGCATAATTAGTATAATAAATGTTTGATTTGTTTTACAGGTTATTTTGGAAAAGAAAAGACTAATCTAACTTATTGGACATTCTTGCAGATTCAGCTCGAAGTAAACTTCTAGATTGGTCGAAGCGCTTTAACATCTTGTGTGCAATTGCTCGGGGGCTTCTTTATCTTCATCAAGATTCGAGATTAAGGATCATACACCGGGATCTAAAAGCAAGTAATATTTTACTAGACAATAATATGAACCCAAAAATTTCAGATTTCGGCATGGCCAAAATGTGTGGAGCTGATCAAATCGATGGGAATACAAACAGGATTGTTGGGACATAGTAAGTATATTAAAAGTTGCTAAAATTTTACTATGATTAATTGAACAGCAATTTAATTCTTGTACGGTTCCTTTCAGCGGTTATATGGCACCTGAATATGCCATCGATGGATTTTTCTCTGTAAAATCGGATGTATTCAGCTTTGGCGTATTATTGCTAGAAATTGTAAGCGGAAAGAAAAATGGAGCACTTGCCTACGAGGCCGACGACCGTAATCTTATTGGGCATGTGAGTAACACCTAAAATTGAAAAAAATAAATTAATATGAAATATTCCTATAATAAAACAGCAGATAACAATTGTATTGAATTATTGTAGGCATGGAGATTGTGGACAGAGGGCACTGCAGAGCAATTGATTGATGCTTATTTGGTAGATTCATGTATTGTATCTGAAGCTTTAAGCTGCATTCAAATTGGTCTTTTATGTCTGCAACATCATCCTGATGATAGGCCGAACATGACATCTGTGGTTGTGATGTTGAGCAGTGAAAATGCTTTACCTCAACCAAAGGAACCTGGTTTCTTAATCAGAAAGGCTTCAATTCAAGGAGAACATTCTTCTTCAGGCAATGAAGTAACTATCTCACAACTAAATGCCAGATAGTGAAGTTAATTTATTTCTAACATTTTTTGTTGAATTATGTAAATTGTACTTGGAACTTAAACTGCCCATTAGTCATTATAGTTAGTTGTGAAATATGAATAGGTTTTATATTTTTTTAAACAACGATCTCGTCGAAGTTAGTTTCGAGCCTGCATATACGGTAAATATGCAACCTAGCTATTAATAAGCCAAAACAAGACAAAGAATAAAAATAAAATAATTAATATTCACATTCTCTATTTTTGTTTTGGGCTAATATATTCTCCTACAACAAGAGATATTTTGTCTCCTCCATAAAGAATGGAGGGATCTACCCTTTAAAAAAATGAAAAAAAAGGCTGGGAACGATTTTTGATAGGTCAACAGGGGGTGTTTTTCTCTTGCAACATATCATTTTTATTATTTATGACCTACCAAATTTTCCCTAACTATGAAATATAGGCAGCAGCCAAAGAAAAATAAAGTAAATGATCTGGACCTCCTACTTACGAGATAAAGACTCGATCTAATAAAGGCCCAAGAGCCCAGACACTCCTTGTGACTTAGCCGTCAAGGAAAACTCATCTTGTGTAGAAAGCATGGGATCTCGCTAACTTGGCCAACAAGTCAAACGTGACTTAACATGAAAGGAACCATCATTGTCGAGATCAACAGCTCAGACAAGTTGGCCACCACCAGGAGGCCACCACCAGGAACCAATAAATGAATGGCAACTCTTGCTTGCTACTATATCTACTGAATCTACTACTGAGATAGGCTTGCCCACCACGGAATAGCCTATGAGAGGCCACCCCTCTCCTCCAATAAATGTGAATGTCGTCCTATGAAATATGGTGACAAACAAGGCGCTCAAGCACTATAAATACTGAGGTTTTTAGCCCAAGTATGATATCCCTCTTTGAATACTTGAACCTCTTCGAATACTGAACTAACTTGAGCGTCAGATTGCCTTTACAGGTACCCCCTCAATGTTATGGGACTTCCGCTGGATATGTCTCTGTTGGGAGTTCCAGTCGGGTTTTGCCGTGGAGTCATCTCAACCATGGGAGAGGCGCTAGGAAGGTTCTCGAGAGTTATATGATGGGGTCCTTGAATGAATCATTGTGTGGATGTTCTTGGATGTGAGCCTAGTGATTGATGTGATTTTGTATGTTATATTATTCATATGTTTATCATAACATACACATTGAGTGAGCTAGTGGGTGGAGTGACCCTCCAGGACCCTTGGTTTACTAAGATATATATGTATATCTCACCCCACGTTTCAGGACATCATTTCAGATACTACTGATCATACTGGAGCATCGGGCAAGAGGCCTGCTTAGAGGCGAAGATGGATATATGGAGTGCATATGGACTATATATATAGCATTTTGGATGGATTTCATTTGATGCACATTATAGAATTACTTTGTATCATGGACTTAGATTATGAACATGGTATTACATGAGGTTGTACTTGCCATGCATTGGTTGATCATAGTTAGTTCTATGTCAATTGATCATGGTTTATATTTTGGGTTTGTATTTATGTATGTGTGTGTGTGTGTGTGTGTGTGTGTGTGTGTGTGTGTGTGTGTTGTACTTGCCATGCATTGGTTGATCATAGTTAGTTCTATGTCAATTGATCATGGTTTATATTTTGGGTTTGTATTTATGTATATGTGTGTGTGTGTGTGTGTGTGTTGGTTTATATTTTGGGTTTGTATTTATGTATATTTGTGTGTGTGTGTGTGTGTGACATGACATTTTGAGTTATTGGTGAGCATGGGAGATACTCATTGCCACTTTTGGTTATTTTTGAGATATTAGTATTGTGGATTATGTAAAAAAATTATCATTTGAGGTATCGTGGATATGTAATCATATGGATAATGTAAATGATGTACCTATGGAAGGATATATGCATGATGGAAGGGCTTTAGCATATTTTAGATGGTGGATGATAATTAATTAGGTACATGATGGAAAAATTGCCAATTGTTGAAAATATAAATATAGGGTTGCCAATTTTTTGATCCTATATGGTAGAAATGGATCTCTTGGCCTTCGTGGAAGTTATAGATTTTTTTTTTAGCTTTCCAATGAGACCAAGATTGTGTTAATAGGATTAGTATAGCTTAAGTTATGGGTGGAATACCAAAGTATGTTGAAATTCCCTGTTTTGATGTCTATCTCTATACATGCGACGTTTTTGGCACCGTGGAGGCGCGAAAAGTGCCGCCAAATAGTGGGTAAAAGCATCCTTGGCGCTTCTGGCGCTAGGTTGGCACTATTGGCACCATAACACTACTTCGTGGTGATCTTGGCGCCGGGCTGGCGCTATCAGCACTGGGCCCCTGCAAGTTCAGCACCATTTTCTTAGATAAATCATAACTTGAGCTACAGTGCTCCAAATTGAACGCAATTTGAACCCACGCGAAGCTAGCGAAGAAATCTATAACATAGTAAGAGATGAGAATCATAGAAAAAGTATAAAATTCCTAAGGAAATAAAAGTGAAGGCATTGAGTGTTAAGCCTTGTTGGTTTATGGGAACCACTTAGCAACCTTAGATAGGTGTTATATGATAGTTAAGCATTAGAAATTATATTCTGCATTTAGTTTTAGTTATGATCACAGTTTTGTATAGTTGCGTAATACGTTAGTTTTAAATCACCAATGTTATAAAAACGAAAAAGTTCCCACGTATTTTTAAATAAACCGTTGTTGGGTGGTTTGCTGATGGTGGAAATATGTATTCTGATAAGGGACGTTCCTCTGTTTTAATTAAGTCAATGGAAAACAGAGTTATTCCCTTGCTTCCAACCCAAGTGCGCAAGTGCACGCATCAAGTAATAATGGGTGTATTAAGGCCCAGATTATCGTTCCCACGAGGATAAAGCTCTAAATAATGTCTTAAACTATTTTATAAAGAATGAAAATGAGAAGAAAAGTTAGTTGTTGAACTGTCTGGTCAGATGTTCCTTACTGTCTTGACAACGTTCTTCAGGAACAGTAAGTTCAGTCTGATGGCAAACAATTGCTCGCTGCGTTATGTATGTGATCCTTCCTGTTTAGAAAAAGGTGAGAAAAAATCATTGGAGTTTGATAGATACAAGATTAAAAAAAGTAAAAATAAAACAGTAATGATAACTATAATCAAGAGACAACAAAGTGGATGGTTTGAAAAACGGTTTAACAGAAAGAACGGATTCACTGCTACATTCTTAAATATTTATCTCCTCTGTTCAAGACTTAACACTTTTTGGATTTGTCCCAGTTTCTTATCTACCAACTTTGATTCCTCAGCTCATGGACTAGATGGCTCACAAGTTTCTATATTCCTACGGCTCCCTTGACTCTAACAGGTACTTAGTACAGAACCTTAAAATGGACGAAGTGGCCCCTTATTCCTAAGGTGACCAATAGTGCTTTTGGCAGGACACTACCTTCCCCCACTGGCTAAGCTGTCTGAAATCCCTTCCTTATGGAAGTTCCTTTCTCAGTATGTGTTCAATTTCCATTGATACACAATGAATATAGCTCACTTAGCCAGAGAAATACAAAAAGCTTCGGTCAAGAGTTTTGAAAATAATTCTTTAAGAGTTTTGCAGCTTATCCGTTCCACAGATATTTCAGCCCATGGCTGATACTTTAAACATAATTATTCTAAACTGAAGTCCCATAGACCCGAGATTCAGTTCAGAGATAACGATTGGAAAGAAAAGAAGAAACACTTATATTGAAATCAAACAAGAAAGATTACAACAAAGTACAAAATGGAGAAGATGGTTTGATGCTTGTGGGGAGTCTTAATGGATGATACAGAGTAAGGAAGAAGGGTTGTCACTTAACTATAGTTAAAACTATACAAAATTAAACTACTAACTAATACTAGGTGATCTCTTCTTTTAGGACTTCAATGCCTCCAGAATCCGATGATGTTTTTTTATTTAGGACGTCCTATTTATAGGCAGAAGAGGAATGGAAATCTTGTAAATCCTTTGGCGTGAGTTTCTTAATGAAGGGACGGGGCGGTGGCAACAGTGTTTAGAAGCTTTGCAAAATGCTTGATGGGACAGTATTTGTTGATGATTAGCCATTTTGTGCAGTCCCCCCATGCCTTGCTTTCTTCTTGGCCAATGAAAACTCTTGATTCTCTGCTCTTCACGTTTCCTGGTGCTTGAGTGGTGCACCGCCTTGCTTTTTAGAAGACGTTGTTTCCACGTTTCCTGCAAAATGAGCAGAGCATTAAATGAAGGTAGCAGGTGCATTAAATGCTATCAATCTGTCCCCCTTTTAATATGTTTTCAAAGGATTACGTCATCTTCCGTTCCCCTACTGTGTTTTTGTCACAAATGTGTAAAACAAGTGATTTTCATGCTGAAGTTGCTCATCAGATGAGGGAACGTCAGGTATTTTGCCATCAAAATGGGCTTAGTTGGGAACGAATTTACGTTCCATCAACCGCTGTAATTGTAACTACATTTAATATCATAATCAATGATAACACACCAGTCTGGTAACAGGGTTTTACAATGAACAAGTAGTCCAATTGCAGTTTTGGAAAACTAGATGTACCTCAAGTAGGTAAAACATCAAATTGTATATTTGTGTTTTATTGATTTATGAGAACCACTTAGCAACTTTAAATATATGTTGTGTAATGTTAAGCAATAGTATTTATGATTCCGCAATAGTTTTAAGTTACGATTATATTTTTGACAAAATGTTGGATATAGACGTTTTATAAACGTAAGAATATTATAAACAATATTAAAAAAAAACATTTTACCGTATTTATAAATGAACTGTTGTGATTGTAACTGCGTTTAATATGATAATTGATTATAACATTACCGGATGCATATGGGGTGTTACACATATTACAGGACATGGGGATAACATGTCTACTTTGATATGCATCACAATGCAAACACACAATTACATCTGCATTATAGATTGTTACCTCATTACACAATTACATCTGCATTATAGCATTTGATCAAATACGGTGCTTCTACTCATACAATCGCAGAGTATCAGCCCGTTTGATTTAAGGTCATAGGATCAATCAATCT